TCTTAATTTCTACCTTTTATGAGCTTGAGTTTTATTAACTGATATATGAGCTTGACTGAAGCTTAAAATCTTATACTTATAATACTCTCTTCTGGTTTTAAGGGATTTTGAAAAAAAACAAAAAATATACGAATGAATAATCCAGTAATGTCGCCTGATCAATCATTATTGAATCAGTGATGAAAGAAGATAAGTTGATAAAGTTTTATTTTTTATTTATTTTATTTAATAAAAAATTAACAGTGACAGATGCGAGCCAACAGATGACAACTCCTTATAGATATTATACAAATTATTAGAAATATGAAAATAAAATGCACAAAAATTACAAACACCAATTACATATTTATAACATTCTCATTTTCATCATAATTTAATTAAATTTATTGCTCAATTTCATTTTAAATCTAAAATTGCAATCACTACTATGTAAGTCACACTATGGTTTGAGCGAAATTTGACCATCCAAAAGACATAAAATTCAACTAAAGTTTAATATAGCCTACCCAATAAACAACTACCCTGTTCCTGCTTAATTTATATTTATATACTGTAGACCTAAATAAAAATCAGTTTCCATATCAGGTCCATGAATCGCAACGTGCATTGTGACATGGTGCTGTTTCTTGTGATTTAATTACAAGTAAATTCTTTTGATCTTATGCTGTCACTATGGAACTGCTTCTACAGTGGTCATAGACTATAACGTACACAGCGATTTAATAGTGCCTTCTTTAAGAGACTTAAATTAACTGTAACTTTAAGTTTGATAAAAGCGCTTTGAACAGCTCCATGATTTCAAACTAGTTCTTAGTAATTCATTCTGATCCACCTCGACGAGGTGACCTTAACATTCTCGCATGCGCAGATGACTTTTAGTGACGTCATTACGTTCTACCGTCGTCGTGCAATCGAAAACTCTCTATTGTTTGACACATGCGTATTCCACCTGGCTGCCCTGTTCTCATTGTTCAGTTGTTAAGTTTGTTTGACACTCCAGACAGGTCTATTTAGATGACTGTTTAATATATATTTTGACAGATGACTGCAGTCTGCCTGATGCATCACATTGCAAAGCCTATAAGAGGTTTTATAATGCTGACGCGTTTGAAGCCATGGTTGATAGTCTCTTAGATTTTTGTTTATCTTTCTTGGGGTTGGACTTTTGATCGTGAGATCTGGAGTTCGAGACTGATACTCGTCGCTTGTGTCCTTGGGCAAGAACCTTTACTTTCATTTCCCTCTCTTCACACAGGAGTATAAATTGAGGGGTGGGGTCATGCTATTTACCCTACTACGACTGTTCCAGTCAATTAATAACAGCAACTTGATGCCTATGCGATTATTCGCTACAAAATACGCAAGAAGATCTATTTTTTATGTGGTTACGGTACTACCTGTCTCTTATACACATCTAGATGTGTATAAGAGACAGGAATAATCCAGTAATGTCGCCTGATCAATCATTATTGAATCAGTGATGAAAGAAGATAAGTTGATAAAGTTTTATTTTTTATTTATTTAAGTTTGTTTGACACTCCGGACAGGTCTATTTAGATGACTGTTTAATATATATTTTGACAGATGACTGCAGTCTGCCTGATGCATCACATTACAAAGCCTATAAGAGGTTTTATAATGCTGACGCGTTTGAAGCCATGGTTGCTGGCGGACTGTCACACATCTGTGCAAGGTGCCTCTCTGCTGAGTAAGTCACTGCATTTATCCCGTTTTATACTCAAGCTGTTACGTCTACAGTTGTACATTTGTTTTTTAACGGCCATTCAACAGTGGCATGTTCAAAAGGCACCAAAGAAGTAGTAGGGAATGAGGCAAAATAGTAAAAACGAATGGCACTTTTCAATTAAGGCCATTACAGCGCATGGTACACTGTCCTTCTATAGTCTTTTATTATTATAGTCTCTTAGATTTTTTTTATCTTTCTTGGGGTTGGACTTTTGATCGTGAGATCTGGAGTTCGAGACTGATACTCGTCGCATTGCTTGTGTCCTTGGGCAAGAACCTTTACTTTCATTTCCCTCTCTTCACACAGGAGTATAAATTGAGGGGTGGGGTCATGCTGTTTACCCTACTACGACTGTTCCAGTCAATTAATAACAGCAACTTGATGCCTATGCGATTATTCGCTACAAAATACGCAAGAAGATCTATTTTTTATGTGGTTACGGTACTACGGTACACAGCAAACCTATATATACATTATATATATATACATATATATATATATATATATATATATATATATATATGCCTATACAGTATATATATGTATATATATATATAGTTTAAATAACTTTATATATACAGTATCTCATTCGAGCAAGCTGAACATAATGCACAAAAGAGGTCGTATCTTATAGATCTCTGGTAAAATTCTAGCCTGGGTTCCAGGCCCTAATTTAGGGTTACTCATTCTTTATTGAGCTTAGTGCGCGTCATACCTAATTTAATTGGCGTCCCATACTTTATTTCTTCTTTTTTTTCGGATTAAGACTCAACCAAAGATTATTATAACCATAGAGCTATTAAACAACTAGAGTGCTGACAAGATGGCGAAGCAATGCAGAGTTGTATATGTGTACCATCCAAGATGGCCGCCGCAGGAAAGCGCCACCTTCTGGCTTATTATACATATTATTACCATGAATAAGCCATCTGACTGACTATTATTTCATTAATGATAATTGGTATTGATAATAACAAATTATTAAACTATCGTAGCCAAAAATAGGCCAAGTAGAGGATCTTATTCAAAAATTAAAAAAAAAAAAAATCCAATGACCGGGGTAGTAATGTGAAGCACTTAGAGAAAAATAAAGAATATAAAGAACGACATATTATTATTGTTTATTTAAAATCGTGTACATTACACCCATACACCGCAACGCTTGAGTTTCAAACATACGGGTAACTAGCAGTACTGAACTTTCTGTGCAAATTGAGGGCGCCATTGAAATTTTATTGGCTGAATCTATGGCAGCCATCTTGAATGGAAAACACACACAGCTCTGCGTATTTCGAACTTCGAATACATTGCAGTTACCGCTCTAGTATTCTTATTTATATCTCTATGATTATAACTCAAGTTTATTAGCTCGTTGGCGACAAGACTCTTCAGAAAGACCCCAATATATCAGAACTCTATCTTCATCATATCTTCTAGCTCAACGCCAACCCCCTAATCTTAAATCTCTTCTCACCTCCTCCAGTTTACCCTTGGCTAATCCTACTCATGGTAACATGGCTTGTAACAACAGGCGATGCCAACTATGCACTATAATTGACACATCCGATAGATTCAGAGTTCCTGGTACCAACATCATCATCCATCCTCCACCACTTAACTGACATGCCTCCAATGCTGTTTATATTATATATTGCGCCATATGCAACAAAGGTAACTACGTAGGTGAAACGGGATGTAAACTCCGTTTAAGAATCAATAATCACAAGAAATCTGTCAGGGATAAACTAAAGGGTTTTCCCGTAAGTGAACGCTTTAATTCTACAGACCATTCCATCTAAGATTTAAGGTTCATTGTTATAGGATCCAACTACCGTTCCCTTAAAGGAGCGACGATGTACTGAATTACGTTGGATCCTTCATCTGAAATCACACATTAATGGATTAAACAAAGACCTAGGCTTTATTAGTG